AGTTACTAGATATAGTGTAGTCTGGTATATAAAAGAGGGTGACAACGTGACGAATATTAATGTGTGTGTAGACAGTGAGTAATTGATCTGCAGTCAGAGAGTATTATTGAGCACGTTCGTTGTTATAGCGTTTGTTTTATCGCGATTGTTGAAATTAAGTGTATCATAAAGTTATATTCGGAAAGAATAAACCAGTTTTATTAAGTAAGGACTTGTGTCGCTAAAGTTTCGTCGGAACAAAGTTACGGAAAGTTAATTAACAAACGGAGACGTAACAATATTAAAACAATTTTGAATGTACAAATCAGTAAGTCATCTTACAACCACAAGTGACATAAAGTTGCCATGGAACGGCATGTATCAGAATAAATTTTGACATTATTGTTTTGTTAGTAGTGATGCCATGAAAAATTAATAACTTTTGAGAAGGGTATTTAACAGTCATTTCTGACACTAGATATGCAAACAGTCAGATCACAAATATATCAGTAGAGATCTAGAATTTCAACATGGATATACCTTTTACACTTAATGACATTTGAAAACAAGGAAATATGAATCAACTTGGGGAACCAGGATGATCCAAAAAAGAGACCTGCAACAAGTCGTATTCCAGCTGTGGTGAGCAAAGTGCAGCATCTTGTAACAGATAATAATCTATAAACACACATGTCTGCCATATACCACCCAATAATCCAAGCCAACAGTACACAACATAATCAAGAAGATCTCTGTTTGTAGAAGCGACACAAATCAAGGATTCATAAGTTGTTTCCCTGACACAAACACTGTCACATACCTGAAGTAGCTCGAGAATGAAACAATATTTATGCTACATCATATGGAGATATTTGAGTTAAGGCACCTAATGCATCGCCAACTTATTTCTGTTAAGAAGGTGCTGGAACTATCGTATTTGTACACTAGATAGATTATAGAAAACATGCAGGGAGGATTGGTGTGGTTTGACCACGAGTTATTTATGATAGATCATTTTGCAACAGAAACTTTGTTGCAGTGCTATTATATAGAGGAACTCTCGTCAGTTAGAGATTGGCTGTACTTGTTAAAGCCTCAAAATCGTTTTAGTTTAACCTACTCAACTTGTGCACTAACTTCTAACAGATATAATAAAATGTTGTTCATACTGATTAGGTACATAGAAAACTCATTACAATATTTAACAGGTATAACAAAATGTATTTTGTATCGTTTATGTGCAAAGAAAATCCATTGCAACGATATAATATGTATATCAATAAACACAAGTGACACTGTAACTATATAATTTTCACACTGACACTGTGCATTCATTTAAGTAAGGACTTGATCATGTTCAATGTCTGTTTTCATAGTGTCTTCTCGGACTTACATAAATAACGTTCCATAAAAGGTTATGGCTTCACTAATGTTTCTGAAATTTCTATAGTGATAAGGTGAGTTCCGCTAACTGAATTATGATAGAAACAGCAGAACTTGTACCAGGAATGAAGGGTGTTATTCACAGATACATAAACAAAAAAGTTTACAAACTTACTTGAATTGGTAGTGTTTTGTAATAAAACTTATGGTGAAAGAATAACCTGTCATAAATAATTGTAAAGAAACGTTTGAACATAAACTGTTATATAACACTTGCTTTGTCTCCTGTACGGTAGTCTTCAGTGTACGTTGATGTAGCATACAGAGGTTCAGTTGGAGGGTTGTATATTTTTTTAACTATTAATGGTTTCCTTGCCTTGACCTTAAAAACAAATAATTATATAATATTACTAGAATAATAATATAATGATTAAATTAGTATCATACTTGATACCATTATTTGTTTAAGCTTTATATATATATATTTATATACATAAAGCCAACATGAATTATCACTGTTTAGGTACTTGATGTCTGAGAACATGGTATGATCTTAAACTATAACTGTTATATAGTTATGGTTAGTAACTTCTATGATCACCTAATATTATTACTTACTACTTTATCCAATGTTTCAGCTGTTAATTTAAATCTTCTAAATACATGATCATATTTCCATAACATGAAGTATCTTAATATTGGAGTGCCAAATTAAGTAAACGACCAGTTCAATTAGTGTTCAGGTATATTGAAAATTTTACAGCAGTATTCTCATGAGTGCAATAGACTGCCAGACAGTTTGCAAGACAATTGACTTCATTGACACCCCCAATTTGCTATCCCGTGAATGTTATGTCTCCTCTCAGGTTTGTCTAGCTATCTTAGCAGAATACAAGCCTACTAAGACAGTAAAAACTGTAAAACAGTTTCTCGTGTTTGTGGTTGAAAATCCCCCTTAATCCTGGGGGTCATATAACCCACTAAATGCTCAAACTTTAACTTGCCTTCCAACTCAAATTAAGTATAATCCACGTTAATAGAAAAAAAAATATGCCTGATTTCATAAATAAATCAAGATTTCTATATATGTAGCCTAGACAAAAATTAGGTGGCAACCCTATATATGTAACTAAAACAAAAATTACGTCACAACACTACAAATGAATGAAGTCACACAATACATGTCACAATACATTTAATCATTATAAGTTGGAATGTAAAAAAAAATATTTAATTAGTTATACTCGTAATAAGGTTAATTTGTAGTTTTGACCTAAATAGGTAGCTTGCTCTGATCAAAAGTTAATATCAATGAAATACTATAACTGCAAGCAGCACCTATATTTTGCAGTATCTGCATTCATGAGCAGTGTAAAACTCAGTTAAATGCTTCACGCAGTTTTATACCTGAAACAAAACTGATTCAATCATACTATAACTAATATCTGTATCTGGGATGAATATCAAGTTTGAAGAGAATAATCCAACAATGGTGCTTCGACCAAATTATGCTTTAAAGGCGAAAATGCATCTTCACTTTCCTGTGTCCAAATAAAGCACATGCCAGCCTTAGTCACCTTTGGACACAGTGACTAAGGCTGGCATGTGCTTTGTTTGGACACAGTGACTAAGGCTGGCATGTGCTTTATTTGGACACACAAAGCACATGCCAGCCTTAGTCACTGTGTCCAAACAAAGCATGTGCCAGCCTTAGTCACTGTATCTAAATAAAGCACATGCCATCCTTAGTCACTGTGTCCAAACAAAGCACATGCCAGCCTTAGTCACTGTGTCCAAACAAAGCACATGCCAGCCTTAGTCACTGTGTCCAAACAAAGCACATGCCAGCCTTAGTC